TAAAAGAATTTTACTTGTAATAAATATTTTCATCAGGCTTCTGTCTCTCTTACCTCTTGACCCGTTTCTTGCCCTCACCTTTCGGCAAAGGTGAGCACCCAGCAGCCGGCGCAGGCTCCTCCCCAAGGTCTGCCCAACGGTGACCATGACCAGGGCCATGGCCGGGAACTGCGGGGGGAAAACCTCTGCCATAGCACTGGGGGGGGGACAGGGCAGCCCCGCGGGGTGCAAAGCATCCCATGTCTTCGTTGAGGTCCATCAGCATCTGCTTGCGAAATGGGGCTTGGCTCTCGTGCCCTACTGAGCCTTCAAGCTGCTGCAAAAATAAAAAATAAAATTAAAAAAAAAAAAAAGTTTCTTGCTCTGAAAATAGACCTGTACCTATTTTGATTGCTGCCTGGGTAAAGGACGTTTTAACCGTGCTCATATTTGCAGGGCATTTCACCAGCTGTGCTTCCCCTACGGCGATTCTACTTCCCTGGGGTGGCAAAGGACCTCTGTGGCATGGAGAAAGTCACTTTGGGGTTTCCATCTCCCTCCAGATTAAAGGTTATTGTATTTGGGGGCGGGGATATTTTGGAGATACTTCCTTGCCGGCCATTTCTCTTGTAAGCGTTTTATTCATAAATGTGTGTGTTGAGGGATTATCACATCTGGGAGGGCTGCAGCTGGGTCCCTGCCGGTGGAGTAAGAGGAGTCTGGTTTGGCTCTGGAGATAAAACAAGGTGGCAAATTGCTGGGGCACGGGGCAGGCATTTGTTTATGGAAGTGCTAAGAGAGGGTGAGTCCTTCCACCCTTTTCCGCAGGTCCCAAATTGTCTTCGTGCATTTCTTGGCTGCTCTGATCACTTAACCGCTGCTCATCGTTCCCACCCCTTTGCCAGCGCTATTTATACCACAGCTGTAGGGTTTCAGAAGGGTTGGAAACCGAGTGCCACGGTGCCGCAGCGATGGGGATGCTTACAGAGCCCCAGAAAGGAGGGTTAGGGTTAGGGGGGGCAGTTGGTGCCAGCGAGTGCCCGGTGAATGCATCCAAAGCAGCCCCCGAGCTCCCAAACCTGGCCGAGGAGACACCCGTCAGCCAAGCCCCGGGCAGAGCGAGGGCTGGGTGCTGGGGCCGTCGGGACGGCAGGAAGAAAAGGGAGGTTTTTGTCAGCATCACACAGAGCGTGGTTTCATCCCCGCCGACCCCGGCGGACAAAGAACAAAAGGCGGTGGATGCCAAGGCGTAGGTTTTAGCTGCCTCTGGAGCCTTCCCGTTACGGCTGAGTAACGCTCGAAAAACCCAAGAGGCAAACAGTGATAGGGGCTGTTTATCTTTTTATTATAAATTTAGTGTGAATGACCAATGGAAAAGTCACAATGGAGTACCAAGAACATTTTTATCAAAATTTTAGCAGCATTTAAACAGTAATAGATTCCCAACCTCCTCCGGGCACCCCTTGCCCTTTGTCTCCCACCCACAAAACAGTAACCTTCACCCAAATGTGCTTTCCAAAGCTGTGCAGGGAATGTAGCTAGCCATTTCCCCCTGAGCTGCCGTGAAAAAAAAATAAAAATCTCATCCCAAACGCTGGTTACCACGCAACCTCCATCCACGCCAGGCCAGGTTCCTGTCCCCTCCTTGCTGTCGGCAGCATGGCGGGAGGGTGGCGGGCATTGGGGTGGGACCCTCTTCGCATCCTCCTCGCCTTGCTCCTCACGCCGGCCCCTGCGCCGGTCAGCACTCCCGCGGGCGCCCGTACGTTCAACCACAAAACCAGGGCTAAGCCCGTTTCCTACCCGCTGCTGCCCTTCGCTTCGGTACATGGGGGTGCGGTGCACCCCGCGGTCCCGCTCCTGTACCTGAGAGTGTGTGGTCATGGCTGGATGGAGAGAAAAAGGGGAGCCTGACGGTCTGTTCTCCCACGGGAATTGATAGCAGGGCAACCGGGAGCTGGGACTTGGGAAAGGTAGAAGGTGAGCAGTGAGAGACTTCAAATTCAACCCACAAAATGAAGTCGGTCTACTACCAGCTAATATGGAGAGCCGTGGTCTGCCTACTAAGCAGCAAGAACTAACTTTTGTGTGTGCGCTTTTTTTTCTTTTTTTTAAAGATACGTTAAGACATGAGCAGTACTATCCCAGCCTCGCTGGCGGGAGCTTGGTGAAAACAACGTTGAATTAGAGGTGGGGAAACACAACACACGCCCACACGTGTAGACAACAACATAATATCGGCAAGCTATTCCCCTGCTTCTTTGGTACTTCCTAAACTTTCTTATCCAAAATATATAAGGGAAATGCACCATTTAAAAGTTACTGTTTGTAAGTATTTACACAGCCATAACCATCACGCTATGGTACACAAAGATCAATATGATATGAACAAAGTTATTTTATGAAAAGCACTTCTGCACATTTTATTTTGTTCCAGTATCTTAATAGCTTTAAAAAAAAATTCATGTGTTACGCAGTCCTGTACCTCGCTTCTTCTTATATCAAATGGACGAGAAACATTTCCTAATCCATACTCTTCTTCAAAAGATTAAAAAATTGCCACCAAAATGATACACTATGTACAAATTTTTACTAAATATTAAATTCTAGGCAATTATTTTCACCCCACTGATAATATAACTTAGGTATTGTTACCTACTATATGCATATATATTTCTTTAATATATAAGAAATGGCACCACATCACCATGTCACCAATATGACACATTGTTATGTACAGTAGATAAGAAGTTAGATATGGAAGATGGATCCTCTCCGACCGGTTCTTTCACGGGAACGCTTCTCCCCTCGGTAGTAGCTTGGCCGTTTCCCCTTTTCCCAGCGGAGGAGGCTCTTCAGATGTAAGGCAGGATCCCGTACATCAGCAGCGCCATCACCCCGGCACTGAACAAGCCGGCCACTGGCACAGTCACAAACCACGCCAGGAAGATGTTGCGGAAAAGGCGCCAGTCCACGGCTTTCTTGGAGCGGATCCAGCCGACGGCCACCACGGAGCCGACCTTGAAAGCGTGGGGAAGAGAGATGGAGACAAGATGTGAGGGGTAGGTCCCAGCACCCGTAACATGCCCACGGCCACACCAATGCCAGTCAGCTGATACCAAGCGATGCTCTGAGATAAAGGAGCCCCTGATGATGACGATGGCTCTGTTCTGCTGGGGTGGCAGGAGGGCGACACTTCCAGGTTGCTTTAACCTTTATTTTTCAATGATCTCCTGTTTTTCATGGGTCTCAGGGTCAGCCAAAGGACAATAAATACGTTTGTGGGTTTTCTCTGCCCTGCTAGCTCCGGGATCAGTCACAAGCGCAACTGAGGCAGCCCAGCGCCTGACTCGGTCTGTAGGGGAGAGCGCAAGCGTCCACCGAGTCTGGCCACGCTGTGGTCTAAATCATTGAAACACCGGGAAAGTTGTTTTGAAGGCTCTGCCGGAGAGTGTGGCATGGGGCAGGGGGCACAGTCCCACCTGCCTGTCCTCTTGCTGGTGTGGGATGTCCTACCTGCTCACCCAGCAGCTGCTGAAACTCTGCATTTTTTTAGCTTATAGCCTGGCGTAGGGAGCTGACTCCAAACAGCAGCTATATATTTCAATAATTTGGGCTATAAACAGGACAGCAGCGGCAATGTAAGCAGCTGATGGTAACTTGGCAAGGGGCAGACAGAGAGTGCAAGGTTAGACCCTGTACATCTGCCCTACGCCAAACTGATCAGCCCGAGCCCACCCAGGAAAACCAGCCCTTTTGGACCAGCCAGCCAAGCAAAGCAGCCAGAGCTAAAATCCTCCCTGCGGCCAAAGACATCAGCCTGATGCTATGGGGCATGCAAATTGCACGGACATCAAGAGGGCTGGCTTCAGGTGGGCAATGGCTAAACCACCAAAATACCCTTCGAAGGCATTGCTACCAGGGCAGCTGAGTAGGTCAGTGTTTTTGAAGACAAAGCATACCGCGGCATGGGCAAAGCTACAACCTTTTTATCCTTCAAATGTATTTTTTCAGTTAATAAGCTGTGGTATAAACCCAGCGTATTATATTTTAAGAAAGACCTGGACTGAGAAAAACATTTCCAGTGAAAAATGATGCAAACACTTCAGAAACACTGCGTCGTCTTTCTGCCCTGGCAATGGCCCTCCGTGCCGTTAACACAAACGTGTAAATCAGTGCAAGTCTATTCAAAGCACACAGTAAAGCAGCAAGAAATGTGGAAGGAATGTCCTGTTTTGAAAAAAAGGAAACTCCAAGACACAGCTGGGCTTGTGCCCCCTGAAATGCCATCCCTGCCTCCCCTTCCCTGCTTGTTTTCTTACTGGGAGTATCAGTCCCTGCCTATAGATTAGAAGATGGGCTGCTCCCCGTGTGCGGAGCCAGGAAAATGATAAATGCTGGGAAGACAGGGAAGCAGGGAGAGAGAGGATGGGGATACTGAATCCGCATCTTTTGTTAACACCTGTTTAACTTCTAACTACTGCTTAACATTTCTTTTTGGAGGAAAGAGTTCTTTATGGAAGACCCTGTAACTCCAGGGAAGTGACTCGCAAAAGTGCCTGTGACAGAACAAGGGAAAACTAAACTTGGTATTCTAGGACTGGAAGGGCCTTGGTCTAAAGCTTGATCCAATAAGGAAATCTGTTAGATAATATTTAATCTGAATACCCCTTGAGTGGACAATATGCTATTCAGTATGTAGGAGTTGTAAGTATATTTAGGAGGGGCCCAACTAAGACGAACCCCATACTCCTGACTATATCAAAGCATTAACTCAAGGAAACAGTGTTTGGTTTTTCAGCAGCTCAGCTGTTAGGCTCTGCTTTACATTTTGCACATCCTTAGCATCCGTCTGTCATGCTTGCGACAACCAGCATTGCTTATTGAGCGAGCCTGCAGTCTACGTACGATAGTCTGAGTCCGTCCTGAAATTTAAAAGGTATCAGCAATGATGGCATTGGTAATCTGTTTTAAACATTATTAAAGTTTAGTTTATTAATAGTGATTTTGATGGACTAGAGGTTAGGAGAGTAGCTAAAACTTGGGTGTAGGGACACTACACCATCTGCAGAATTTCAGATGATATCTACTTTGAGATTGGTTTGAGACCAGTGCAGTTTGCCTTCAGTATGCTCTGCTTAACAGCATTACCGAAATGCTTTTGGCTCTCTTGTTACTGTGCAATGGCATATCATAGTAACACACAGAACATGGTAATTCCATCATAGCAACACAGAGGATATTTTTCAAAACCCCAAAATCATAATAGCAAAACGGAGCTGACAGTATGACCTCAGCAAAGTCGCTTTTGCACAGAAAAAGCATTTCATTCCTGCACTCTAATTTTAGTCGTATGTGAATGCGTTCAGTCTGTTACAGCTGAGAAATGCCTGTTTATTCCTACATCTCATATCTTAGATTAAATGAGAGGCCCTATGTGTAAGATTCAATATGCTCCTTTGCCTACGCGGGCGGCAGAAACGCAAGGTACACGTTCGCACCGCACGGGCTTTTCGGTGCTAAACGCCAAGGGCGGTTGAACGGGTGCAGGCAGAGCAACGTGGCTACCGTGTTCAGACTCACAAATTCCTTCGGAGACTCAAAAGGTCAGGTCTTTCCCTCAGGCCCTCTTGACTCGGAGGCTTTCAGAGGGACTCTCCTCTCCCCTTTGACTTCTGGCAAGGATGAAGGTGCAGTTCAGGCTCTCAGCAGGCACCGAGCGTGGAAAAGCTGCTAGGCTGTCAATTTAGGACAGGCATATCGGGTGGTGGCTACTTCATGTAGACCAAAGCTTCTGATTTAGGACCGAATGCAACTCCTGATCTGAGAGGGCTTGACAAGTCTTTCTCAGAAGCTAATGCTTCTCTTCCTGCTACCAATCTCCAGTTTGCCACCACATCTGCTCCAAGACCTGAAAACTGCTGCTCGCAGCTTCCCTTCATGCTTGGTCTCCATTTGTCATTATCGTCTATGGTTTCACCTCAAAAAGGTCTCCCTCCACCTAAGATGTTTCACGCTGCTCCTTCTTTGCCATCTGTTTATCCAGTTGCTGCCCGTTCAGTTGACTGACACCCCTTTGGCCGGGCTCCACTTTAGCAAACGCTATTTTGCTGTGGACCAAACGTTGGGTAAAGAATAATTCCCACTCCCTGATGCTAGAGGCTTAGGACTAGGCTCACCTCGAACCCATTTCCTTTTTGATTTCTAGGGCAAAATAATTTTTCTGCTGATTTTTAAGATGGCATTTCTGTCTCAACAGCTGACAGCACTTTCGGAGAGTCATTTTCCCACGGAGTAAATGATATGTAATAGTTGTTCTACTCCTCATTGGGCCCTCGAAGAAAACAAGGAATACATCTGTTACAAGTGTTTGCTTTGCCTTGCGTTGACCACTTTGGATCTTTCAACTCAGGATCTCATTTTGCTGAAACACAGAGTCAGTTACAATAACGTGACATCCTGGAACAGTCTAATCCTATTGGGAAGTGGATCTTCCCATTAAGAATGATCCATCTAATGAGATACAGCAAACTACAGGGAGCAGACACAGACTAACCACATTAACTGCTTTTATGGAAGTATTTTTTTAAAAATAATTATTTTGCTCTGCAGTTAGGAAAGACCAAGCTTTTAACTGCGTTGAGTCAATTAATACCTCCTAATGCTGCCCTCTCATTAGCTTATGGCTTCCAAGATGTTTTCTTTTTAAATTCAGTCTATTTGTCTGCACCAAAGTGTATTTTCTCTTCTACGACAGTTGGCTAGAAATGCTTCAGGCACGCAACTGGGATAATCAAAGCTGTATTATTCTCCCTGGCAAATTCTTCATCACGCATTTGATGTACCAGTCAGCTTAAAGGGAGGTGACTTCAGGCTAGCATTTTTAGAAGTTCATCACATTGTTATTATTTTTTCCCCTCCCTGCTTGATTCAGAGGGACCAGAGCTCAGCCAACGCCAGGAAATCTGAACAGCCTTTCACAGCAGCTCAGTCTTGGCTGCTTCTCAAAGAGCTCTACAGCAGAAGAAAGAAATGATTTTGCAATAGAGAGAGGCTTTCTGAAGAAATGGTTTTCACTAGAGAAAGGCCAATTGACCCAACTTGGGGCATTTTGCAGGATGTGTGGATTTCATCGACTCTTTCACTGGAAACCAGGTCAATGTCAATCAGGCAAGGATACCCAGCTTCTTGCCAGCCCACCTGCCATGCCGGGGAGCAGTTAGCCCTGAAAACCCGCCTGCCCCAGCCCCAGCCAGAGCTGGAAGGGCTCCAAGGTCCCCGGGGTGCAGCAGTGAATCCTGCAGGATCTGGCTCTTGCAGGGCTTGGTGGTATGTCCTGAAGCAGAGGGGCTTTGCTGCTCTGGGGTCTCTGATTTTGGAGGGGCTTCCCCACGCCTTGCCAGAGGGTGAGGGATACAGGCAGCTCTGCGTGTCCAAGAGCTTGGGAGTCCATGGGGAAGCAAAGGAAAGAAAGACGGGATATTTGAGTTGGGAATTTCCTGGGGAACAAAATTCCAAATTCCCACTGTGTTCTTCCAGCAGTGTACATGTCCACATGCTCCCTGTTGCCTACAAGCAATATAAATGTCTTCTCACACAGCGTATCATACGACACAATTGAATTCTGCTCATGACCCAGCCTATATCTATACTTCAAACTGGTCTTTTTTTTTTTTTTTTTTTAAGAAAAAAGTCAACAACCTTGTTCAAAGAACTAATTACAAGAGCTGGATTCCATATTATAATGCACAAAAGTGAGGACAAGTTGGTTTAAAAGAAGAGAGACATTAAAATATTAGCTTAATGATGTAGCAGTGTTTTTCATACAGGTGGCTCTAAAATACACGTAACCGACATCACACAAACTATGAGTCTACATTATTTTAATATATCTATATTAGTTCAATACGATCACGGAAGGGTGAAAGACATTCCAGACTTTTGTGCAATTACTTATAACGCTGACTTTGCTTAGCCGTATCAGCTTTAAAAGCGGTCCTCGTTATTTTGCGATCGCTGTCTGCACAGCGCATCACATAGTGAAGGCAATCTGCAACAATCGGTATCTCTTGTATTTTGTTATGGTTTGTCCTAGTGATGTGATTTACTGATGTGATCACTGCAAACTCCAATACCTTGCAATGGGTGGAGCTTATTGGAATACCCACATTTGAGGCTACAAGTACCGTTAGCGCACACATTACTTCAATGCAAAATCCACTGTGAAGAAATAAAAAAAAAAAAAAAAAGACAGATGGAAAACCTGTAGTAAAAGAGTTATACGCAGGAAATCCCATGCCATGCACTTATCAAGAAAGTGAAGTATAAATGATGAATGGTGCGCAGCCTCTGAACAAGGGAGAAATGCTACCCGACCAGGTTCAAATGGCACCGTCGGAGGAAACCAGGTTCTTGCTTGCAATCGTTTGCTTTAAAATTGAGGTCACCTTTTTTTTTGTACGTGCTGTTTTTCTTTAACCACAGCTATGGAGTTCACGCTGTGCCCGATTGTAGCGACTTTACTGCGACAACTCCAATGCATTTTTTTGGGAGCCTGATTATTTTCCAATGTCGCTGGCACGCCTGAGACGCGCTGACGCACCTCCTCCTAACCGTCCTCCGTGAGCGGCTGTTTTCCCCTTGCCGTGCCATTATCCGCTGGCTCGAGGGACACAATTTTAAGATGAATAGTCCAGACTGCCTTGACTGCAGTCGCTGGGCAAAGGCATACCTTGCAGTGTGTAGTACTGACAGGAAGTCCAACATTGGAAGCTACCACAACTGTGAACGCCGAAGCCAACTCAATAGTGAATCCACTGCGGGAAGCATAAGAAAACACTTCACAATCACTCTTTGCATCAGCTCGGACTGATACTGTGCAGCGTGCCAAAGTCTTACCCGTTTCTTCTTTCGACTGTTTTATCTCCAACCGATTTTTGTCATAGGAATAAGTTAAGAGAACAAGGAAGGGCTGAATAATGAGAACGGCACAGGCAAGTCATCTGTAGCAACCCGGCTGCGCGGCTCATTGCGTCAGGGACTTTTACTACTCTACGCTGCGGTGAATCATGCCTAATTAGTAATTTGGTTAAGTATCAGCAGAGGTCGAATATGCATTAAGGATGAAAATTACTGTAATAAATACCTATGGTTTTAATAGTCTGAAGCGCACTGGGAAAGCCACTGTAATCTTGACATTTCCAAATGCACCCTCTGCCACGTTAATTAGGTCATCAGCAGAAGACTCGGTTCACGTACACCTCTATGCCTCAAACGCATTCAGTATCAGTTCACAGGGTTATCTTTTTTCCCCTTTCTCTCTTTCTTTTTCTCATTCTTTCTTTCTCTCCTTTTCCTCTTTTTTCTTTCATTTTTCCAAAAGACGGAGAAGTCGAAGCCAGGTTATCATTAAAATCAAAGCACAGCAAATCCAGCAAACTGCATTACAAACAAAATACCAGAGCAGCAATTTCTCAGATTGGTTCATGCACAAAGTTCACACAACCATAATGACAACTGTGCACCTACCTTGATGGTGTGATTGGAGTGAGGTCTTTACCCATGGTCTGGATAACTCTTCTACCCCAGACCCAGAGACCCACACAGATCCCAACACCTCCATAAAACAGCAGCCAGATGGGAGTCGACGCTTCTTGCATTACACCACCTTGCTCGTAGATAAGCCAGAGCGCGACGAGGGGACCGATTGCATTGCTGGAGAAACAGAAAAACAACACCCGAGTTATAAAAATGCAGATAATTGTCCTGAAAGAAGTCTCTTCTTTTCTGCGTGATTTTTCTTCATCGTGTGTGCAGCATTGCTCTGACTTGACCCCACAGGCAACACCTTTTCTTGCTCGGAAAGGCTGCAGCAGGAGACTCTTATGTTGCTTTTTCGGTTGTCACTTCATCACTGATAACTATAGCGAATGCTGAAAGGAATTTTTCTTTTACAAATCGTTTCCTGAAATGTCAGAGTCAGTAATACCTCATTATGTCTGTTCTAGGATAAACCCCCGTATTTTCAGTACTGTGCTGAAATTATCTCAAAATTTACCCATTCAAGAGCTCTGCATCTTTAAAATTCAAGTATTAAATTAGCTCTTTTTGGCAGAGAGGGAAATTAATGAACCAAATTACCCTCGCAGACAAGAAGATACAAATCTAATCTAGTCTGACAACCTGTAACGTTTGGAGATATGATCAGAATGCAGCCAGGAAGGTGACTTAGTCCTCTTCAGATGCGTTGTGGAGCTTGTTGGACTGGATCAGGGAAGACTCCTTGGTGACACAGAGCTGGCGTAAGTCCTTTTTGCTACCCTGCTGCTGCTATCTAGAAAAACACTGAAAGTCAGCAATGCTGAAGGCCCCGTTCCTAATGCAGGTCACCCGATATTGGTGGCTGGAGTCTCTCCAGTGCCTGGAGTGAGACTTCTGACTCTCTTTATTCTAAAAAAGCATCAAGTTTCTAGACATAAGGGTTAGAAGAAAAACTTGAAAGCTGGTATCCAGTTACTTTAGAGGCTTAAATACTAAAAAGTAGATAAGAACTTCGACGTCCTTTTTATTTTTGCAGCTCTTTTGCTAAACTGAGTAGCTGCTTGCCCTGCTGAGCAGCATTTATCCACAACCAAAAAAGCATAAGAAGCAAGGCAGCGGTGCACTTTTATGTCTACATAATCACAAGATCATTAACCTGCCCAATGTCATTCAAAAAGTCTGAAAACCAACAAGAAGCTCCCCTCTTTGTAAACTGAAGAGGAGAGTGGGTCGCGGCGAGTGCCACAGGCAGGACGCACAGCTATGCTCACCTTGCAGCCAGGACTGGCTAAATTTAGTTCCTTGTCTTGCTCCAAAGCACACAGATAGTTTAAGGGCCAGTTTTAATATCAAATGTTGTGCAAACCAAGCCACTGTAACCGACAGTTAATAATTTACTTGAATCCCATCTTTACCAGATAGGAGGTGCTAGGGGCTGAACGCTAATCGCCAAGAGACAAGAGTGCTCAGCATTGCAAAGCCTGGCACGTCTTAGCAACACGATACCCTCCTCCTTTCTTCTGGTCCGTGAGAAATCGAGCTCTGAACCTTGAGAAGCCATCCTGAGAAGCAAATTAACTAGGAAGGAATTTTCCCTTGTAAACACACACAACAACATTCAAACTGCGAGGCGAACGAAAATACTTTAAAATGCTCTTTGATATAAAAAGGAATTAATAATTCTTACAGATTTTGAGAAAGATGCTGGAAATAAATTAGTGAGCTAACATGGATAATAAAATCCAGTAGCTTTGAAGACACTGGGTAGTAAGATGAAGAACTACATACACTTTAAATAAAGAGTGATTTCCACTAGCAAAAATACTTTAAAATTCTGGTCTGATACTGTGCCCGAGTATGCATTTGATTTGCTGAGTTTTTGCGTGAGTGAGAGGATGGTATGTGAAAAGCTCTTAGTGCCTAAATGCACGAGTTATTTTACCTTCAAGGAAGAAGAGATTCTTAATCAAAGCATTTCTAATATTTTTAAGTTGACTGACCTGCAACTTCTCTGCCAGTGTTTTCAGGTGTGGATTAAATTACTTGCACGTTTAAACGCCTTATTGTGCATAGAAAAAGAAAGGTAGTTCACTGTATCTTCAACTGATGGATGCAGAAGGATGGATAAAGGCAATTAAAACACTGATCAGATGAATAAATGGCAAACTGATCATCCCTTCTTATAGTGCCGTATGACACGGGGACAACCTCCCTGCTGAAAATAACAGCTACATTTGAAGCGAGCCCAGGCGCTGATTCCTGACTGTTCTGAAGAGATTATGGACGGATATTTGTCAGTCCTAATGTAAATGGGAAGACAGAAAAGGCTTCAAAAACTACAGCAGCAAACTATGCTCTTTTGTACCAAAATCCAGTTTTAATTATTTGCAAATGCTACACCTCTGTGAATCAGCTAAGCTTAATCCTCGAAGAAAAGGTTATTTTCTTATTTGTGGCAACGAAAGGCAAGGCAAAACTCTCCTGACTTATGCTCGGCCTCGGAGGATCCGAGTGGCTGATGCTGCCCAACAGATCCAAAGAGATGACACTGATGCCCACAGAGGCAGCAGTTCCAATACCTTCCCTGTAGGAAAAGAAAGCAGAGGAGCACTGGATCCATACATGCTTGCAAAGGCAAAAAGGTAATTAATGGCATTTTCATTTGTGGGTATCTGCACCATCGGTTGTCTATACCAGAGAGACGTTTCTCCTCTCCCTGTGAATCACGTTCAATGTGACTTAAATGTTCAGCTCCTAGGGACAACAGCATCTCCCAGCCTGAATAACTACAGGTGGCTACCAACAGCCAGCAAACCGGCAGCGGTGCGCAGTTGGCAGCTCCGATCTACCACTGTCACGGCTCTTCAGAGGGCTCCTTTGGCTTCTGGATTTGTTCAGTAGGTCCAGTCCCAGGGTCTTGTGGTGTCAATACTTCCTATGCCAATGGAGAACAGCTCTAGAAGAAGCTGTTAGGCCTGTCCCAGCACAAAACTGCCAAATGCTCACAATGAATGCGTCTGACTCACAAACTGCAAAGCATCGGATTTGGTACTGCATGCATCAGCTTCCAGACATTACCACGAGCATGTGCAGTCATCCATCCTTGGGACTAGCAAGAGTTCATCGGCAGAAGACAACCAGTCCCAACGGCAGAGTAGGAGAGAAACAACACATCAAAAAAAAAGGCATTGTGAGATAAGAGACTTTGCTTTGAGACCTTCTGTGGTTAACAGATGGCTCCTACAGCCGAGTGACAAAGCAGATGAACCACAAGGACGCTGGCTAGACTGGGATGTGGCTCACAGTATTTCCCACCGGTCCTATCTCATTTGACTCAAGACATGACTAGCAGGAAAGCAGACCTCAAATCTTCCATGCATTTGGCTAAGACTCATTTCACAAGTCTATTTTCAAGACGTGATTTTTCTCTTCCTCTCCCACACAGCTCTTTTACTTGCCTTAACTAACTCTCCTTTCTGCTGGAGCTCCAAGTCTTATTCGTGGTAGTTTAGAAGGAGAAGAAAAAAGCCTGAGATGGTCACCCAGTGGCTCTGAACTTCTATCCGCATCTATCTATATGTAAAACTGCCACTAGGTTCCTATGTAATCGAAGTCCTTTCAAGGATGTTACCGTATTATTTAGCTATTGTGTTTAAAAGCCAAGATAAGCTACTCCTGTCGTGGTATTACTTTAGTTTTGTACACCTAATATGCATTTTTCCACTGAGCACAAGAGGATGACCGTTACCAGTTCATATTAGGATGAATTTATAAAATGTTATGGCGTAAGAAGCCTAACTCCTGAGTCTACCTGTCGTGAAGTGTATTCTCCATGTCCAGTAGCTTTCATCATTTCTGCCGGATTCCACCGGCCCCGGTGACTCGCAGGGCACAGGACTTTGCAGCAGGGTAAATATACAGGGGCTGTTTGCCTTCCCCGGAGGAGCGATACAGGATTAAATGCCATCTACAGTAATGCTCGTACTTCCAGACGCGTGTCACGGTGGTTCAGCGAAGTGCTGCTGAGTGTTTCTGAAGCGCTGTCTGACCCTCACGATGATTTCGCTAGCTCTCTCAACTAACATGAACTGGCACGACTTCTCTTTTTCTGCTCGCTTGTGCCAGTTGAGAATCTGTCCTGCACCATTTATAAAGCTGTTGTGAAAGATAGCATTTGACAGTGAATCTGAACTATAAATAGAGTTGGCTTCTCCTCTCCCCTGTGAGACAGATAGGATTACCGACCAAAAAAAAAACCAACCACATTTAGCTATCATGAGACAGGCTTAGAAATTACAGTTTCCCATGCACACACACACACGAGCAGAGATTTTTCAGTACCTTTGGGTCACAAGTCCAGGCTCTTCTCTGGAGGAACAAGGACTGCAACCTTTTTTTTTTTTTAAGTAAAAATTAAGTGTTTTTTTTTTCAGTAATGCAAGGATGCCATCAGCTGAATGCTGTATCGCCAAATCCCATCAAACTTGTCAAAATATTTTATCAACTAGCAACATTGCTATTACCTCGCTACTTCTTGTTTGAGGGGAGTAGTGAGTTGCTCAAAAAGAAAACCTAATTGTATTTGAATGCTATGCTCTGAATAAGGTTTGTGTTATAATCCACAATCTACAGACTACTTGATGACCATGCTTTGATTCTCTGCTACCTGAAAAAGCAGACTGTATTTTAGCCACTTTTTCTAGTTGAGTGAAAGAAGCTTGACAGATATGTTATCACTCATTAAAACTGAATGATGAGCAAAACAGCCATCTGAGACATCTATATTAGGCTTCCAATATTACAAATATAATTACAAAATCCCCAGTCATCGGACTATTTCCCAAACCAGGATTTCACAAACGAACTTTTCACTGGGAAAATAAGTGGGATGATATTTCTGAACCTGCTGCAGTTACACCTAGAGACATCACCCAGTTGAGTAAGGGTGCAAGAAAGATACGCCTGTATGTACCAACAGGAAAAAAAACCCATCGTAATCTCCAGAGATCGCAGATTATCAAGAGAGTTTTATCCTAGTTCCAATCATCGGACAGTTTTGAAATAGTGCATATACCATAGCGCAATAAAAGTGCGTCACAATTGTGCCCTGCGAAGTGCAAGCTTCGGGTGTGTTAATGAGTCAGGAAGGCTACGTATTTCTTCCTGCAGCTCAT